AGAAATACTTCCTAACGTCCCTGTGACTCGTCTGGTCTTCAGCTTCCAGTTGTGACCCTTGTCCCTGTGTCCCCTCTCTGGAACATCCTATCTCTGTCCACCTTGTCTATTCCCCGCAGTATCTTGTATGTCGTTATCATGTCTCCCCTGACCCTTCTGTCCTCCAGTGTCGTCAGTCCGATTTCCCTTAACCTTTCCTCGTACGACATTCCCTTGAGCTCTGGGACTAGCCTTGTTGCAAACCTTTGTACTTTCTCTAACTTCTTGACGTGCTTGACCAGGTGTGGGTTCCAGACGGTGCTGCATACTCCAGTATGGGCCTAACATACACAGTGTACAGTGTCTTGAACGATTCCTTATGAGGTATCGGAACGCTATTCTCAGGTTTGCCAAGCGCGCCGTATGCTGCAGCGGTTATTTGGTTGATGTGTGCCTCCGGTGATGTACTCGTGTATGGTCACCCCAAGGTCTTTCTCCCTGAGTGAGGTCTGTAGTCTTTGTCCACCTAGCCTATATTCTGTCTGCGGTCTTCTTTGCCCCTCCCCAATCTTCATGACTTTGCATTTGGCTGGATTGAATTCGAGGAGCCAGTTACTGGACCACATGTCCAGCCTCTCCAGGTCTCTTTGCAGTCCTGCCTCATCCTCGTCCGATTTAATTCTTCTCATCAACTTCACGTCATCTGCGAACAGGACACTTCAGAGTCTATTCCTTCCATCATGTCGTTCACATATATCAAAAATAGCACTGGTCCTAGAACTGACCCCTGTGGGACCCCGCTCGTAACAGGCGCCCACTGTGATACCTCTTCACGTACCATGACTCGTTGCTGCCTCCCTGTCAGTATTCCCTATCCATTGCAGTGCCCTTCCTTTATGTTGCCTGATCCTCCAGCTTCTGCACTAATCTCTTGTGGGGAACTGTGTCAAAGCCTTCCTGCAGTCTAGGAAAACGCAATCTACCCAACCCTCTCTCTCGTGTCTTACTCTGTTACCTTGTCATAAAATCCAGAGGTTTGTGATACAAGATTTTCCTTCCATGAACCATGCTGGTTTTCATTTATAATCTTGTTCCTTTCCAGGTGTTCGACCACTCTCCTCCTGATAATCTTCTCCATGACTTTGCACACAATACATGTCAGAGACACGGTCTGTAGTTTAGTCCATCGTTTCTGTTTCCTTTCTTAATATGGGGACACTACATTAGTCTGTCTTCCATTTCTCAGGTAGTTGCCCAGTTCAAGGGATGTGTTGAAGATGTGGTTAGAGGCACACACAGCATCTCTGCTCCTTCTCTAAGGACCCATGGGGAATGTTGTCCGTACTCTCCATCGCCTTGAGGTGTCAAGGTCACTTAAGAGCTTCTTCACCTCCTCCTCAGTTGTTCGTATGTCATCCAACACTTGTTGTATATTCCCTCTTGATGTTCCCTTCTGTGCTGTCTTCCCACAGCCCTCCTGTCTCTACTGTAAAAACTTCCTTAAATCTCCTGTTCAGCTCCTCACATACCTCCTGATCATTTCTTGTGAGTTCTCCACCTTCTGTCCTTAATCGATCACCTGGTCTTTGACTGTTGTCTTCCTCCTGATGTGGCTATACAACAGTTTCGGGTCAGTCTTGATTCTCGATGCTATGTCATTTTCATACTGTCGCTGGGCCTCCCTCCTTACCTGTGCGTACTCATTCCTGGCTCTGCGACTGATCTCCCTATTTTCGTGTGTTCTCTGCCTTCTGTACTTTTTCCATTCTCTATTGCACTTTGTTTTTGCCTCTTACACCGTCGGGTAAACCAGGGGCTTGTTCTGGTCTTCCCGTTGTTACTGTTGCCCTTGGAATGAACCTTTCCACTGCCTCCTTGCATTTGTTGCTACATATTCCATCATTTCATTTACTGGCTTTCCTGCCAGTTCTCTGTCCCACTGGACCTCCCGCATGAAGTTCTTCAACCCTATGTAGTCCCCTCTTTTATAGTCAGGCTTTTCCCATTCTACTCCTGTTATTCTCTCCACTTTGCAGCTCTACTATGTATTCAAAGCACAGAACCACGTGGTCGCTAGCTCCTAGGGGACTCTCATACTTGATATCCTCAATGTCTGAGCTGCCCAGGTGAACACAAGGTCCAATCTTGCTGTTCATCCTCCCCTCTCACTCTGGTAGTGTCCTTAACATGGGTGCATGAGGTTTTCCAGCACCACGTCCAACATCCTGGCTCTCCATGTTTTGGACCCCCATGTGGCTCCAGTTTTCCCAGTCAATCTCCCTGTGGTTGAAATCCCCCATAACCAGCAACTTTGCTCTGCTGGAGTGAGCTCTTCTTGCCACCTCAGCAAGTGTGTCCACCATTGCTCTGTTGCTCTCTTCATATTCCTCCTCTTGGCCTCCTGCAGTTCTGTGGTGGATTATACATCACTGCAATGACCACTTTGTGTTCCCCAGACTGAAGTGTACCTGCTATGTAGTCTCTTTCTCCTGTCTCATCTATTCCTTCCATTTTCTCGAATTTCCATCTGTTTTTTACGAGCAGAGCAACCCACCTCCCCCCCTACCCTTCTATCTTTCCTCATGATCTGGTATCCTTGTGGGAAGATTGCATCTGTTATTGTCTCCATGAGTTTTGTTTTCTGTAACTGCTATGATGTCTGGGGACTTCTCATTGATTCTTTCTTGCCATTCCTCATGTTTATTCGTTAATCCATCTGCATTTGTGTACCAAACCTTTCAACTTCTGTTCTAATACTGTAACTGTGGTGCGGGGGGTGGAAACAGAGGGATCGGTGTGTGATGGTTGGTTTGGAATGTTCAGTTGCCTTGGGGGTGTCGTGGCTGGAGTCCTCTGCAGGTGTTTCTGGGGGGTGCGCTTGTCCTTCCATTTGATCCTGGGTTATTCTGCTCTCCTTTTTCATTTCCTCCCATTTCTCCTTTCGTTTTTGAACTCTCTCTTTCATTGTCTTCCTTTCGTCCTGTGTTCTGTCTCGGTCGAGGTACACACTCCGTGTGTGTACTCACCTAGTTGTACTCACCTAGTTGAGGTTGCGGGGGTCGAGTCCGAGCTCCTGGCCCCGCCTCTTCACTGATCGCTACTAGGTCACTCTCCCTGAGCCGTGAGCTTTATCATACCTCTGCTTAAAGCTATGTATGGATCCTGCCTCCACTACATCGCTTCCCAAACTATTCCACTTACTGACTACTCTGTGGCTGAAGAAATACTTCCTAACATCCCTGTGATTCATCTGTGTCTTCAGCTTCCAACTGTGTCCCCTTGTTACTGTGTCCAATCTCTGGAACATCCTGTCTTTGTCCACCTTGTCAATTCCTCTCAGTATTTTGTATGTCGTTATCATGTCCCCCCTATCTCTCCTGTCCTCCAGTGTCGTCAGGTTGATTTCCCTTAACCTCTCTCGTAGGGCATACCTCTTAGCTCTGGGACTAGTCTTGTTGCAAACCTTTGCACTTTCTCTAGTTTCTTCACGTGCTTGGCTAGGTGTGGGTTCCAAACTGGTGCCGCATACTCCAATATGGACCTAACGTACACGGTGTACAGGGTCCTGAATGATTCCTTATTAAGATGTCGGAATGCTGTTCTGAGGTTTGCTAGGCACCCATATGCTGCAGCAGTTATTTGGTTGATGTGGGCTTCAGGAGATGTGCCTGGTGTTATACTCCCCCCAAGATCTTTTTCCTTGAGTGAGGTTTGTATTCTGCCCCCCTAGAGTACCCGTCTGGGGCCTCTTTGCCCTTTCCCCAATCTTATGACTTTGCACTTGGTGGGTTTGAACCAGGACCCAAATTGCGGGACCAGGCTGCACCCTGCCCAGACCCCTTGGAGTTCTGTCTGGTCTTCGACGAGTGAATTCTTTATCAAATTAGTCATCTGCAAACAGGGACACCTCAGAGTCTATTCCTTCCCTCATGTCGTTCACAAATACCAGAAACCATGGGCCCGGCTACCCCTGGGGACCCCGTGGTCACAGGTGCCCCTTGGGAAACCCCGCCCGTACCAAGATCGCTGCGTCTTCTGACAAGTTTCCTGATCCATTGTGGCCTTCCCCGTTATCCCCGCTTGGTCTCCGTTTTTGCACCCAAACCTTTTGTGGACGGGTCAAACCCTTTTGGGAGTCTAAGTGTGTTTTTGTGTGTTGTTGTGTGCTTGCATGTGTATTTTGTACTCATATGTGTAGTGCTTTGTACCATGTGTTGTATCTCTGTGGTGTGTGTTGTGTGTGTGTGTGGTTGGGTGTGTGTGTGTGTGTGTGTGTGTGGGTTGTGTTGTGTGTGTTGTGCGCGCGTTTTGTGGTGTGTACTCACCAATTGTATTTGCGGGGTCGTAACTCTATAATTTTTTCTGATTCTAGCCATGTAAAAACGAAGAAATTTACTTACTTACCTTTTTACCCTTTATAACTGTGAATTCATTACCTTTGTATCTAGTTCAGCTATCAAAACTTTGGGGGCCCAGTCCCTGGTCCCATTATGTACCTCTGTAATCTGCAAATACCTTTGTAACTTGTCATGATTGTGACCAGATCTACCTGGAGTTCATTACCATTGTAACTTGCTCTGCTATCATAACTCTGGTGCCCAGTCCCTGGACCCATTATGTACCTCTGTAATCTTTTGACAACCACCCACAGGATGGGTATGGGGTTCATAATAAACATATTAAACTAACTCTCTCTCTCGTCTTCATTCCAGGCAATACAAATCAAGGGACTTTAACCGTTTCCAGTAATTTAGGTGCCTTATCGTACTTATGTGTGCAGTGAAAGTTCTTTGTACACTCTCCAGGTCAGCAATTTTGTGTGCCTTGAAGGGCCAGTTAGTGTACAGCAGTATTCCAGCCTAGAGAGAACAAGCGATTTGAAGAGAATCATCAGTAATAATAATAACAATCTAGATTAATTTATATTAGTAATACACAGTGAAGAGAAAACTAGTACATACTATGAACTATCTAGAGATCATTACTATGTAATAAACATACTTCACTTTAAAACACCATACCTTCTTTGCTCTGTTTATCTCAAAAAATACTTGAAGGAATAGTGAAATGAGAAGGAAAGCGTGACATGTGTATGATGGAGCTGTCTTCCACTCATAAGTCTTGTTGTGCAATCCTGAGTTGTTGCTTGAATCTGGATTCTTACACACAACTGAAGCTCGTTCTTTAAATTCTTCACAAAACATTTCTTTTGTCTTGTTGCATTCAAGTTCTATTTGGCTCCAGTTCCTGAAAATAATGAAAAGAGTGGTTGTTGGAATACTTTTTCCTCTTTTATTACTCTATGGTTTTCATGTCATAACTTGAGAATCCACTTCTGATATGCTTCTTGTTTTTTAACACTGGTGTGCCATACTCAGAGGAAGTAAAATTATGACTCTTCTTTATTGGGCTACAAGAATCAGTGTCTAATGTTTGAAGTCATTGAGAAAAGGTATTCCCAAGCTATCACAAGGAAAGAAAATCATATTTTCTAAAATTAAAAGGAAGCCTGGCACATACTCCAATAACACTCCAAACCTTCTTCTAAATAAGATACACCACAACTGAAAGTTTGATACCAATCAGAAGAGGTATTCTCAAGTTTCAAACAGACACCACTGTTCTTAATTACACTTTTATTATACTCAAACTGATATCTATACAGCCCATTACAATCATAAACTTTGTCTAAGTATGACATACCAACACTGAAAGTTTGAAACTCACCAGAAGAGGCATTATCCAGTTATCACATAGAAACCTTGGAGGAAGAAAAAATACTAATTTAGGTCACTAAACAATATGAAAAAGGTACAGGTCCTCCATCACAAATCCGGCATCATTGGGACCTGTAGTGTGCCGGATTACTGAGTTTGCTGGATTACAGAGTGGTTAGGTTAGAATACACTTAATAAAATTAACCAACTTGACTTACATAAAGTTCATTGAACATCGGCAAAAATTGAACATTCCTGCTAATTTGCGCTCAATTTCAAGGTACAGTGGTCCCTCGTTTTTCGTAATTAATCCGTTCCTGGAGCCGTTACTATAAACAAAATTTACGATTTACGAATCAATTTTCCCCATAAGAAATAATGTAAATGCAATTAATCCGTTCCTGACACCCAGAAGTATTAAAACAAAAAATTTTTTAACATGAAATGTACATGTAGTACATAAACAATACAATGGGAAATGATGAATGAAACATTAACAGCATAACACTTACCTTTATTGGAGATTCTCTTAGTGTATGGGAGACTGGAGGAGGAGAGTGGATTGTTTATAGTTGGGAAGGGGAATCCCCTTCCATCAACAATTCAGGTACCATTTGCTTTTCTGGAGTTGCTTTTCTTCTCTGTTTCTTAATGCCACTAGGGCCACCTTGAGAGTCACTGGAGTCCTGTCTCACAAAATAACTGTGGAGAGAGCTCTGTTTTTGGCGTTCTTTTAACATTTCCCCTAAAATAGCCCAAGACTTTGCCCACTGTACATGTTGCCAACCTGGCTTGAAAACAACCTTGTTAGGGTGATGTTTCTCCATAAAGCTTTCCATCTTACCCCACATAGTAAAAATCTCTTTAATTTTGAAGAAGGCACCTTCTTCCATCTCTCTTCCTCCTCCTCTGCAGCAGATTCTGAGCTGCGATGTGTTGCTCTTCCTGCTGAAGCTCTGCAGTCCTCAGTGGTGAGCTCTTCATTGTGTCTTCCACCAATTCTTCCACATCCTCCAAACTACATCCAACCCCATGGAACTCCCCAGTGCCAAAATTTGATTTTACAACAGACATAGGCTCATTAGGGTCAGTCCCAAATCCTTCAAAATCCCTCTTGTCGACAAAATTTTGCCACAATTTTCTCCAGGCAGAGTTAAAAGTCCTGGTAGTCATCCCTCCCAAGCCATACCTATAAGGTTATGCAGGGGGGGAAATGCTGAAGTGTTCTCCCCAAAAATTCCCTTAGGGTCAAGTGAGTGTCTGTGGCACAGTCAAGCACCTTGAAACATTGCTTTTGTGTAGAGTTTTTTAAAGTTTGCAAACCTGCTGGTCCATGGGTTGGAGGAGAGGAGTGGTATTCAGGGGCAAGAACTTTACTGTGATGAACCCAAACTCATCGAAATTAGGTCATCCAAGTTTGGAGGATGAGCAGGTGCATTGTCCATTACTAGCAGGCAATTGAGATCCAATTTCTTTTCCAGGAGATCTCCTTCACACTAGGGCCAAACACTTCATTGAACCACTCGACGAAAATTTCCCTGGTGACCCATGCCTTACTATTAGATTTCCAAACACACAATCTACTCTTCATAACATTGTTTTTCCTGAACACACTGGGATTTTTTAGAATGGTACACTGTAATGGCTTCACTTTGAAATCCCCCGTAGCATTAGCACAGAACATTAGCGTCAGCCCGTCTTTCATAGGCTTGTGTCCTGGCATTGCCTTTTCCTCCCTTTTGTAATGAAGGTCCTCTTTTGGGATTTTCTTCCCAAAAAAGGCCTGTTTTGTCACAATTGAAACACTTGTTCAGGTTTCAGTCCTTCAGCCTCTATGTACTCTTGGAATTCATGCACATATTTTTTTAGCTGCCTTTTGGTTCCGAACTGGCAGCCTCAACATGCTTTACCACACTGTGTATGCCGTTCGGTTCTTAAATCTCTCAAACCAGCCTTTGCTGGCCTTAAATTCACTCACTTCACCACATTTGCAGGCAATTTCTTTACCAAATCTTCATGCAAACCGCCCCAGCCTTTTCACAAATAATCGAAGTCATAAGAGTATCTCCTTCTAATTGTTTCTCATTTATCCACACCAATAATAACTTCTCAACCTCTTCCCTACTGGGGATCTCATTTTTGTCAGCATAGTTACTCCCTTTGCAACAAAGCATCCTTTATTTCCTTTTTCTTGGCCACTATGGAACATAAGGTTGTGTAGGGTTTTTTTATACATCCTGGACAGTTCGGCCACACTTGTACCACTTTCAAACTGTTCAATGAGGTTTTCTTAAATTCAATCGTATTTCTCACCTTCTTTACCACAGGTTGGCACTAGGAGCTTTCTTTGGAGCCATGGTAGCTTATTTAGTACTTGCAAGCACTAAAATAAATGGAATATTATGAAATATTTCGCTGGAGCACGTGAGGGGACCTTCGCTCGCTGGTAAACAATGCCAGACTGGCTGCCGCCCCGGCTCACGCAGTGGGTACACGTCCCGGACGAACTACGACTCGCGAGTCAACCTATGAAAAGCGAGTCCATGTTTATACGAAAATACCCCTATAATTGGGGAAATTTACGATTGCCAGGAACTACGAAAAGCGGGGGACCGCTGTACTTTTCATCATGAAAGCAATCAAAATCATGTCTATTTCTGTAATATATCTTCCATTCTATCAAATGAGACCAAAAAAACGAGAATACAACCCTAAAAACCCTGCGAAAATATACCGCAAGAGGCAGCTAATGGCTGAGAAGTGAAATTTCCCCTTTTTTATCGTCCGTCTTTTTTATTTTTGTTGTATGTTAAGAAGCACCTTTCCATCATACATTGCCCAAGTTTCAATAAGACAGCCCAACAAACAACTGAGAGAAAAAAAATATTTACTAAAAATCATATATGGCAAGCCCAAGCCAGGTACTGGAAATAAGTCATTTTGTCTGACTTATTTGGGTTATCCTAGGTTCTCTATACATACACTGCTATGTATGATAATCTATGTAACTGTTTTTGTGTATACCTGAATAAGCTTATTTACTTCTAGTCTGTCAACTAAGTACAAGAAACTGCCCATTCACTTATTTCAACTACCCAATAAAGTGATCAGAAATTGGCAATTTGGCTGATTTCACACAAATTTCAACAGATGCCAATTTCAAAATAGGGTCCAGAATAAACAATGCAGACATTCCTGGCACTAAAATAATATTTTCTCTGTTCATTAGTCACGGCTACAGGCCCCTTTTATATTACTCTTGCTTACCATTTGGAATTTTTATTCACAAAAAATAGAAGATTTACTGTTATGCAGACTACTGCATTATTGTAATAATTGTATAAATAATGTCAATCCATTCTTGACTTCGTATTGGAATTTAGACTGGCAGGCGGACAGGTATTGGACGGTGACGTCATTTGTTTACTCTTGAGCTTCGCTAAAGAATAGAACATTTTCGCTACTGTGAGCGCAATTTCAAGGTACTTTTCATCATGAAAGCAATCAAAATCATATATATTTCTGTAATATATCTTTCATTCTATCAAATGAGACCGAAAAAATGAGAATATAACCATAACAACCATACAAAAATATACTGCTAAGCAGCCGCTAATGGCTGAGAAGTGAACTCTGCTATTTATGGTATGATTTCTTTCATTTTTGGTGTACGTGAAGAAGTATCTTTCCATCATACATTGCCCAAGTTTGAATAAGATAACCCAACAAACAACTGAGAAAATAATAATAATATAATAATAATAATAATACAGTGGACCCCCGCATAACGATTGCCTCCGAATGTGACCAATTATGTAAGTGTATTTATGTAAGTGCGTTTGTACGTGTATGTTTGGGGGTCTGAAATGGACTAATCTACTTCACAATATTTCTTATGGGAACAAATTCGGTCAGTACTGGCACCTGAACATACTTCTGGAGTGAAAAAATATCGTTAACCGGGGGTCCACTGTAATAATAATAATATCTTTATTTACTACACGTACATGTACAAGGTATACAGGCCTAGCTGACATCAGTGACATACTACTGTATAGAAAGGCACTTGTTATGCTGAGTATTTCAAGAAAATTAGGTCAGTGTCCCAGGATAACACCCACACTAGTCGACTAACACCCAGGTATCCATTTACTGATGGATAAACATAGACAACAGGTGTAAAGAAACACTCCTAATGTTTCAACCATGGCTGGGAATCGAATATTTACCAAAAATCATATATGGATAACCCAAGCCAGGTACTAAAAATAAGACACGTTGATTTTTTTGGGGTTATCCTAGGTTCTCTACACATATGCTGCTATGTGTGATAATCTATAGAGAGAAAATAACTTTTTTGTTTCATGTTTATGGTGGAGTACGAATGTATATCATAGTTAGCCCTGTCCTATACTCCGTTTTCTCTAATATAAGTCACCAAGACAAGGATAGGAGAATGGTATTTGTTTACCATATCCTCTTCATAACTCTGTCGAACTGCTCGGTGTTATGCCAAATATTGTTCATTCTGGAGTATTTAACATGTTTTATGTTATTTATATTGTTTATGTCATATTAGATCAATTGTGATAGGCAAATAAGCTGTAGCATTGATATTAGTGTAATAATAGAGCATATTCTCCTGCTTCATGAGACTGAGCTCATGGCAACCGACAGTGGCTTCAAAGCCACCTTATCTTTAATGGATAATGTACTGTGTAGGTGCTTTACATAATGAGA